GTCAGTGTGTTCAGGGCTTACACACAGGTCACGGTGAACAGGTGTGAAGTAGGAGATGTTTTAAAGTGAAAATGTTGCAGCTAAGAAGAAGGTTCCATTCTGTATTCTTTACTTGCCTTGATGTCTGTCTGTCCGTCCAGACGTCCAGAGAGAGAGAGAGAGAGAGAGAGAGAGAGAGAGAGACTTGTTTTTCTTCTGACACAGTTTAGTATCATTCTAAAAGTTCTGAAAATTTGCTAGGGGGAGAAAAGTGGAAACTGCGAGTTCAGAGCTAATTTCCAACCTACTGCTCCAAACCATCCTCATCCCTTACATTCTAACTCACAGGTCTGCTGCAGTCATATCGAGTCAGATCTTAGGCCCTGAGGCTTGGGATACAAGTCTATGCATACTGATACTTGGGCATAAGTCACACTAAACTCAAGTGAGACTTATGGAGCAATCCTAAAAAGGGTTCAGGAGGTTAAGAGCAGTGGATGCTCTGCAACATCCAAAACCATGTCTGTTTGTGCCAGTTGGGGTACAAGGTGAGGCGATGGTGCTCTGATTTTGCCATGCCAGCTCTAAGATCACTTGGCTGAGGAGCCTCTTGGGGGAATCTTTGGGATTTAATGCTCCTGAAATTCCATTTCAGGGCTTGCTGCAGCCCTTTTCCTCAAGCAATTCTCCTTTCCATTGAACAGAGACCCACAGAGAAAACACTGTGTGCCATCCTACACCCAACCCTTGTCTTGGCAGCCCAAACCATTGGGGACAGAGTGTGGCTTCGTACAGAGCCCCCGGTCGTTTCACGGACTATTGACCTGTACACAGTGGCATAGCGTGGGGGGTGCAGGGGGGGCCGGCCGCACCGGGCGCAACATCTGGGGGTTAGGGTTAGGGGGTGCAAATCCACAGGTTAGGGGGCGCAAATCCACGGGTTAGGGGGCGCAAATTACTTGCCTTGCCCCGGATGCCGACAACCCACGCTACGCCACTGCCTGTACACCACTACTTTAATCTTCCGCTGCCACCAATTTTGTGGGGGGGGGACCAGGGTTCCCCAGTGAAGTATTGAGTCTCAGTCCAGTAGAGTTAACAAGGAAGATTAAAGTTTATTTCAAAAATATATTCGAAGCGCTGTCAGTCTATTCCCTCTCAGTCTTGACCCTGTCTCTAACTCACTCTGACTCCTCTATCTTCCCCGCCTCCCCCCCAAAAGAACCAACCGAACTAACTGTCAAAACCTCTGGGCTGAGCCTCAAAATCAGGTAGGCTCTGCCTCCGGGCTTTCTTATTGGTCAGCCTATTAACCCTTTCTCTCCCCCAGTGCAAACGTATCCCCAAAGAATGGGCAAATGCCACACAGGACTGCACTCTTATTTCATTCATATATGTATCTGTATACATATATATATGATTTCACTAGACAATTAAGAAATGCACCCCATGGGTGTTGGGTCCTTTTGTTTTCAGCTGTCAAATTACCACTTCCAATGGCAATGTAACTCTTAGGTCCATGAAGAGAAATCAAACAACCAAAACTCTAAAGCAGTCACATGAAAATATAATCCGCATGCTAACTACTGATCCTAGCAAACATCCACCCAAAGGTTAGCAGGCACAACCACCTTATAAGCACTTCATTAAATTATGACAAAAAAATCTTAAAGCTTAAAAATAAATGCCTGTTTATTTAGCACTCCTGTTTGTTTATTTAAAACTCAATGAAGTGTGGATAAAAACAAACCAAAGTTAAAAAGAATGTGCAAGAAATTATTTATAGGTTTTAAGTAATTATGTTTTATGTATTACGAATGCCACTTTAAAATTAGCTGAATTTGTAGCATTTCAGGAAACCCACTAACACAATTCAAAAACCTGACCACATTATAACCCTTTATAACTAAATAATTCCAATATTTATGATAGAATATACTACCTATGGGGAAAATACATACATGGAGCTTCTCCTGGTGAAAACGTATGAAATTAATTTGCAAACAGCCTTAGTCCTGCTTATTGCTTCAAAGCTTGTTCCAGTACCATTCTGGGTGGATTGTGCCCTAAAGCACTCAGTAAACTCTATGAGCACTAAATGTGAATAACAACACTAGGAGGTCCAAAATTGGCATAGAAGTGTTCGGGGGACATTATGACATGGGGTTTCCCCAGGATGAAGGGACTACTCAGGAGAAGTAAGTCAAAGATGATTCAGCCTCATGGTCTAAATCATGAGATAAGCAATTTCTGCTGAGCTTCTTGTGACTAGCTCTGGCCCTAGTACTGGGTGCTAGTGATAGGTAGAATGGCATCTTTGAAAGAGTTACCAAACCAGGGGCAACCAGATCAAATGGAGGACAAGAACCACGGTTTACTGGTGTAATCACCCTTTTGAACCTCTGTGTGACAAGCTACATCTGCCCAAATTGTCCCTTTTTGTATCTGCTCCAGTAATGATTGGTGTCCTTTGGGACTGGTAGGGTGGAAGGTATGGAGCAAGAGCAAGTAAGAGCCAGAGTCAGTTACAAACAGAGCCTACCAATTCTTTTTCTGCCCCAATCCTCTTCCCTGCTGAGTTCCACAAGGAGCACCACTAAGACCGAGGAAGAGGCATAGGAGCCAACTCATTGGGGCCCCCGATATATTATTTGAGGGGGCCGGGCACCCTCAGGTTGATGGGCATTACCATTCAAATGGTGTGTGCATGCCTTGTCATGTGACTGATTATGCAGGGCAGGCTTACCTGCCCCCTCCCCTCGCCAATATTTTATTCAAGTCAGCACCCCTGGGAGGAGGAAACTGACAGACAGGGTCACCCACTAGAAAGACTGTAAGAAAGAAAGTAGCTGGGGTCTGGCTCAGGGTAGACTGAGGTTGGGCAGTGTCCCTTTCACTCTAATGCACCAGCCACCACTGATCTTGTGACTCTACTAAACTGAATTTGAGGGGGGGGAGAGAAGGAGGGAGGGAGGCAGGCTGTATTACCAAATTATCTGCTTGATCCTAACAGTGGGAATCAGGGCTTTGGGGGCACTCCTGAGGATTGTCTCCCTATTCATTTACAGATAGGTAGCCGTGTTGGTCTGCCATAGTCAAAACAAAAAAAAATCCTTCCAGTAGCACCTTAAAGACCAACTAAGTTAGTTCTTGGTATGAGCTTTCGTGTGCATGCACACTTCTTCAGATACACTGAAACAGAAGTTGCCAGATCCTTCTATATAGTGAGAAGGTGGGGAGGGGTATTACTCAGAAGGGTGGTGGGAATGGGTGATTGGCAGATAGCTGTGATGAGCCTGTTGACGACTCTTAACGACTGCAATAGGTCTTACAGGAAAAAGCAAGGGGTGAGAAGGTGAAAAATGGCTTTGTCATGTATAATGAGATAAGAATCCAATGTCTTTGTTCAGACCAGGTCTCTCCATGGTTTTAAGTTTGGTAATGAGTTGCAATTCAGCAGCTTCTCTTTCCAGTCTATTTCTGAAATTCCTTTGTAGTAAAACAGCTACTTTGAGATCTTGTATAGAATGTCCTGGGAGATTGAAGTGTTCTCCTACTGGTTTCTCTGTCTTGTGATTCTTGATGTCAGATTTATGTCCGTTTATTCTTTGGCGTAAGGTTTGGCCTGTTTGTCCAATATAGAGAGCTGAAGGACACTGTTGGCATTTGATGGCATACACAATGTTAGACGATGAGCAATTAAATAGTCCCGAGATGGTATGTGTGATGTTGTTGGGGCCAGTAATGGTGTTGTCCGGGTGTATGTGGCAGCAAAGTTGGCATCTGGGTTTATTGCAGGCTCTGGTGCCAGTGTCCGTGTTAAGTCTGGTTGTAGTATTATTGTGGGTTAGGAGTTGTTTAAGATTGGGTGGCTGTCTGTAGGCAATGAAAGGTCTTCCTCCCAGAGCTTGAGAAAGAGAACTGTCATTGTCCAGGAGAGGTTGTAGATCTCTGATGATGCGTTGTACTGTTTTAACTTGGGAGCTGTATGTGATGACTAGAGGTGTTCTGTTATTTTCTTTTTTGGGTCTGTCTTGCAGCAAGTTCTATCTGGGTATCAGTCTGGCTCTGTTGATCTGTTGTCTAACTTCATCTGCTGGGTATTTTAGTTCTAAAAAGGTTTGCTGTAGATCTCTTAGGTGAGAGTCTCTGTCTGTAGAATTGGAACAGATACGGCTGTAACGTAGTGCCTGGCTATATACAATGGACTGTTTGGTATGTTTGGGATGGTAGCTAGAGACATGTAGATATGTTTGTCGGTCAGTTGGTTTACGGTATAAGGTGGTGTCTATGCGCCCATCCTGTATTTTTATAGTAGTGTCCAAAAAATGTATTTCTTGCATAGATTGATTCATTGTTAGGTTGATTGTGGGGTGAAAATCATTGAATTTCTGGTGGAAGGTGTCCAGGGTCTGTTGACCATGTGTCCAGATGATAAAAATATCGTCAATGTATCGCAGGTACAAGAGAGGTTTGAGTGGGTAGGAGTTTAGGAAACGTTGTTCTAAATCTGCCATGAAGATGTTGGCATACTGTGGGGCCATGCGGGTGCCCATTGCTGTGCCGCTGATCTGAAGGAACAGGTCATCACCGAATTTGAAGTTGTTGTGGGTAAGGACAAATTGGCAGAGTTTGGTGGCAAAGTCCGCTGTGGTTTTATCTGAAATGGTGTTCCTTATAGCTTGTAAACCATCATTGTGTGGGATGTTGGTATACAGAGATTCCACATCCATAGTAGCTAGTATAGTATTGTTGGGAAGATTATTTAAAGATTGTATTTTCCTCAGAAAATCTGTGGTGTCACGTACATAGCTGGGAGCACTGATGGCATATGGTTTCAGAACAGTGTCCATATAACCGGAGACACCCACTGTAATAGTGCCAATACCTGAAATGATGGGGTGTCCTGGATTTCCTGGTTTGTGTATTTTAGGTAGAAGATAGAAGGTTCCTGGTCGAGGTTCTGTTGGTGTGTTGGTGAAGATCTGTTCTTGGATGTGTGGGGGTAGCTCCTTAACAATCTTGTTCGGTTCTTTTTTGTATTCTTGTGTGGGGTCTGAGTCCAATTTTATGTAAAAGGCGCTATTGGAAAGTTGTCTGTGAGCCTCCTGAATGTAGTCAGTTTTGTTCATGATGACGACAGCTCCCTATTCATTGGTGATGATAAATGATGCTGATTATATAGTTAACAAAGTCATCCAAATTGGGTTGTCCATAGTGGATAAACAGTCAAAAAGTGGCATTTTCCTACGTTGTTTGTTTTCTTTGCCAATTGCTCACACACACACACACACACACACACACACACACACATTGGTTCCAATAGGATGGAAAACGAGAGCTCCAGTTTCAGGGTAATGGTAATACTCTCCTCCCATTCCTGGGGCATGTCCAGGAAACAAGAGGCCCTTGGGTCCAAGTAGATCCAAAGCATCAACCAATCCAACCATTACACAACATTGGAAGAGCTCCTTTGGGGTCTTATTGCCATTGCAGTATCTATGGCAATGGAAATTTCTGATGTCATCCTGAGGCGGCATATGAGGGTAGACCTCCCTTTCCACCAATGGAGAGAGGAAGCCAATTGTATCCTATGGTCCCTGGGACAATGTCCCTTAGAGTTGCACCTTCAAATGATTGCAATGCTTCATTTGTTCTAGCTGTAACCCCCTCTTTGTATATTTCAGCTAGCAGAGCCACCGCTTTAGATTTCGGAGGATCCCTGAATGCTCTTACACGTGCCTCCTATTGCAGTGTGAAAAGTAATAAGTAAATTAATAAATATTAATTAGAGAATAACGCAGTGAAATTAAAACAACAACAAGACGTTAATATTTAAAAACCTAGAGTCTGAGTACATAAATTGCAGACTGGAAAAATATTTAAAATTGCCAGCCAACAACATTAAATCTCTAGGCATTGGGAAACTGGATTCTTGGGATTTAATAAATCCTGGAAGAACATGGGCGTAATGTTTAAGAAACACTAACAAAGCAAAAGCATGGTAAGAAAACAATGTAAACACCCCTGCTTTAGATTATATATTATATATTATATAAAATAATACAGTGGTACCTCAGGTTAAGTACTTAATTCATTCCAGAGGTCCGTTCTTAACCTGAAAATGTTTTTAAACTGAAGCACCACTTTAGCTAATGGGGCCTCCTGCTGCTGCCGCGCCGCAGGAACACAATTTCTGTTCTCATCCTGAAGCAAAGTTCTTAACCTGAGGTAATATTTCTGGGTTAGCGGAGTCTTTAACCTGAAGCATATGTAACCTGAAGGGTATGTAACCCGAGGTACCACTGTATATATTTTATCATATATTATATAAAATATATAATATAATATAAAGTCATCTACTCAGAGTAGGCCCTAAGATGAACATTGGATCTAGTCCAAGATATAGATATGATTTTTTAATTAACACTGTGCAAAGGGTTTTAACTTTAAAATTAATTCATGCTATAGAAACTTTGCTTAGGATTCCTTTATTATTTTGTTGAGTATCAGATATTTTCATGATGAAGGCATTTATCTGAGTTAGAAATAAGAGGTAATACCTTAATTCCAGCTAGAAAACAATCATTGCCATTGCTTTTGAACTGCAAGCAAAGAGCTGTGAAAAGATGCTGCAGAGCTGAAAACTTCATTTGCAGCGCAAATGATAAAAGCAGCCTGTGATGCTCTTATTTAGCAAGCTGTCATTCAAAGATAAAAGACAGAGAAATGGTTCTAGTGAGTTATGAGTGCTTTCTAACTGCTCAATAAACAGACAATTCTGGCAACTGGACACGACTTTAATTGGACTATCTTGTGCATCATTGCTGACTCAGTTTCAGAGGATGTCAAGTTTCAATTACAGGTGGAAGGAACCATCGGTCAAATAGCCCATCTGATTTTCAATCTCATTTCATACAATGCCAGCAGAGTGGAGATGCAGAGGGCACCAGAACAACTTTGTTTAGATGGTAACAATTTATTTCTAAAGGCCAAATGATGGCAAAGTAAAATTGAGGGGTTTTAGACTATCACCAGATAGCTAACATAAACAACGGAAATAGATGGAGCAATTACTCCAAGAAAATTAATCTAAAAATAGCAAAGCAATTGAAAAACCCCAAATAAGCATTCCACAAACCATTCCAGTTTTGTATCTCACATTCTTGGGTGAATTTCACCTCAATTTAGCATGAGCTCTCTTGACTAATAGATTCACACAGCCCTTAAGGGAACGCATTTAAAGCAAATCGCCACTGCTCTATAATTTATCACATGTAGCCAGTGGACTCAGTTCTTAATTACTCTCACTACTATTTGTTGCTTGCATAGCAGAAGTTAAGTTTATGCCTTCCTCTCCCTATATTCCTTTTTCATTAGTCTCTTTTCATCTAGTAATCAGGGTTTGTTCCTTGTTTGTGAAAATGCAAGAGCTGTTACTTGAGGACCTTTTGGCAGAGAAATCTCTATATAATTCTTGGCACAAAGGAAGTACCATCTTGCTCAATTTAGAATCAGTAAACAATAGTTGCTACCAATTTGGATGGGAAGATCTTGTTGCACTCTCCATATATAATCAAGCTTGATTTTAAATGCCTTGCTTCTGTTTTCTTCTTTTTGTCAGTATCTGGCCTGTCTCCTTTCCCATCTCTCAGGCCAATCAAGCTACTTGTGATCTGAATCCCTCCTAAAACCCTTTCCTTCCATAAAAACCAAAACTCCCTTTTCTCAAGTTCTATCCAATTTAGCTTTGCTGCATCTATGTTACTCACAGCCTGACCAAGCATTCTACTTCTACATACAGGTCTTATGGCTATCTTGACTTCTTGGTCTGTGAGCTGCCACCATTGGCACCAACTATAAGGGGCCCTGGGTGCCAGGGTACCTACAATTTTTTGGGTGGGTGCTCAGCACCCACACCATGAGGCCTCTGGTGCGACTTCCAGTGCTCTGTGAGGCCCCAAAAGTCGCATCAGAGGCCTTTGAACATGATTTCTGGGGCTCCTAGGCACTGCCATCGCATGCACATGATGTCATAACATCATGTTATGTTGTAAGCACCGCGGGGCACCCATAATCTGGGGCCCAGGTTGGCGCCCCTGGCTACCACCCATGATGTGGACCCACCCATGAAAAGGGCCTGAGGAGTGCCCTTCTTGCCACCACCTGCCACTACCTCTGCTGTGATGAGTGCACCCTAGCCATGCCCCCACCTCCGTCTCCATGGCAGTGGGGTGGGGTGTGCCCGCAGCAGAGGGTACAGCACTGGGGATATTGTTTGCCACAAGCAGCAAAATCTCCTGGACTGGTCCTGCACAGCTCTTGCTGCCATTGCCACAACACTCTAGGGAAGCTCTTGTGTTACCTAAACAACCATACCTACACAAGGATCTGGGAGGAAAGATGGGAACAGGGTTGAGAAGGTGGAGCCACTTCTGGTCCCTTGCATCTCATCCGTAGGACAACTGGAACAGTCCCTTTGTCTAGCACTGGTGCAATACTGGACCGTCAAATCGGTGTGTTCTGTGGTTCTTTTCCCCACCTGTCCAAAGTAACATACTGCTTTAGTTGATGCAAGGGAAGTCTCTGCCTGTACCACCCCAACAGCGAAAGGTCACCTGGGGCCAGAATGCACAGTTGAAGTTTCCCTGAAGCGATCTAAGAGCACCAGAGCATACTTTGTGTATATTGATGGCTCATTTATTTTTATTCAGCTTATATTTAATAAATCTGGAACAAGTTCTTGCTCTCTGATGCACTGGCAAAACTCCACGGAAATAAATTGGGATGCCCTGGGCACACAGCTCATTATAGACCACTGTTTGCTAAAAAGCAGGCTTTAAATAGGACTGACAAGCTCTTGTGGTATTCCAGAGCAGATGCAGCTAAGTGCAAATGGTTCCAAAACCAAAGCCAAATGCTGCTATTGCCACTTCAGCAAAGGTTCTATCTGGGGCAGTTAGGCAGAAGCGCATTCGGCTTTTTCTTGATTTGGTAACTGAGATACATACAGAGAAATCGCATTGTTCTTACATTTGAATATAGATGAACAAGTTTATGTATCAGAATGGAAAGCATCAATTTATTCATACAGACAATTAATTTAGTAATTGGATGACTGACACTATGGAACCCACTCAGTGTTGAGTGATGGCATGGCAGACAGTTACTGATGCAGAAGAAGTTTAAGATAATTTTTACCAAATAATAAATGACTTTTCTATGTCAGTTTGGGCAAATCTGTCTAAATACCTGAAAATATGTGGGGGGGTTTGGAACCCTGGGAGGAAAATGTTGGTTGAAATGGTACAATTTTGAATGAAGAAACACTGAGTAGGGAAGGAGTTACATGCCACATCTCTCATCTCAAAACAGATTTTTCATTTTAAAAGTAATGGTAATGCTCAACATGTATTTGCACCTAACATATAATTATGCCCCAACTTTGAATCAGACTATTGTTCCCTCTAAACCAGGGCTGTAGGAGATCTAATAAACTGAAGCATAATCTACATAAAATGGTTTGTCTGATGTGGGAGGCAGCATTCTGGAGAGGGTTTTTCACTGGACAATTTACGGTTGGAAGAGGCGTTAGATCTGGCTCCATATCTTGATGCCCAAGGGCATGAAGGATCTTTTTGCCAGCTGAGGAGGATGAACCAACTGTGGCTCTTCCAGGACACAGACAACCTGGTCACAAATTATCATGCAATAGGGGATGCATGGATCTGTTGGTTTAAGTTTCTCTCAAATCTTTAGCCACATTTCCACATTAGTTTATGATTTCCAAAAAATATTTCTCCCCCCCCCCCCCGCAAATTAAACAGATCAATAGATCTGTCTTGGTTTTGACTTGCAAAGAAGCTTCCCACTGCCTTGCTAGCTGAGATCCTTTTAACCAAAGGAACCATGGATTGAAGATAGCATGAGCTCTCTATTAACCTATAGCTGCTTGATGGTATGCTGCTTTTCCTACTGTGCCTTATCCCTTTGCATCTGGGAGTTTTACAGCAGGAGGGCCTCTTCCCAGGGGTCTCTCCAAAATGAACAAGATCTGGAATCGGTTTCAGCTTTTTAAATTCCACTCACTATGTACCAAGACATTTTCAGCAAAGTGCATCTGACCTATTAGAGAGGATAATGGTTATAAAATATCACACAATGTACAAACCTATTATCAAATCACGACTATACGAAACCATGTTTTGTGCACAAACTACACATGACAGAGTGGTATTTGACTGAGAGTCACTCAGCTTAATGGGTTGTTTCTCTGTGGTTTCATATCAAGGAAAGGCTTTGATGGCAAATGCTGTTTTCTTACATAAATGGAAGCCAGTGGGTTAGAGGTAGGGTTTTTAAAAAAATCAATGCAGAAGCAGAATAAAAGCTTATTTGTCCGTGACTATATGACCTATCTATTTAATGATAAATATATCTGCATTATGGGAAATACAATTGCTATTTAAGAGATTTATATTCCCATCTTTAGACAAGTTTAATTGATTTTCTCTTTTGTTGTACACCAGATGGAAGAGGGAAATAGGGGTAGCCTTGTGAATGGGTGTTTTTTTTTGGGGGGTAGGGACCAGTAAATTAATGAGCCAGAATTGTACACTGAAGGAATTCAAATCTGCAAAGAATTAAGGAATATTGATATAATGATCACCATATGTATATGCTCAGAATGGAGAGTAGGCGTGTCACTGTTCATTAAATTACAACTTCTCTCCAAGGCATATTGTGAGTCTCAATCAGTGCTATTATTCTAGAAAAAGAGGTGCTAGAACTCACCACAAACACCCCTTTGTTCTCTTATAATGGCAATGGCGCCCACCTGAGACGTTCTGGAACTCAGTCCTAGCAAGTTCTTGCTGAAAAAAAGTCCTGGTCTCGATCATCATGTAAGTAAGTGGAGGAAAGAGAACAACTGCTGCCAAGGCATCAGCAGCCACTGCTACAGTCTCTCTGCTGCCACTACAGCAATTCCTAGGTTAGTGATTGTGTGGGTGAGTGAGAGTAAGGGAGATGGGGTGAAACTGTTCTCGGCTAGAGAGCCCCACTACCAGGATTAAAATGGCTTTGCCCTTTTTCAAATGCAACCAGTACTGAGATGGCCAGCTCCAATGGCAGCCCTCAGAGCTGGTTTACATACATGTTGTTAGTTCTTCATTCCTTACTTTGTAATACAAAGCTCAGAAGCACACAATGCTCTCCTTCAAGATGAGGTGGACATCATAGCCCTCAGACTTATTCTCAGCACAAAGGGCTTTCTTCCAGCCAGAACTTGCTGGACCTCAGTTCTGGCACTTCTCGGGTGGGCGCCATTGCCATTCTAAGAGAACTAGGGAGGTGTTCATGGTGAGTTCCGGCACCTCTTTTTCTAGAAAAATAGCACCGTCAGCACATAATTGAATCCAAGCCAGAGCATAAGTCTTTCCCCCAATTTTCTTGTCTGAATATATGATTTGCATTAAGAATGGATTAGAAATGGGAACATGTAAACAGGAGATCAAACCTCTGGATACCGCAACTGTTCAGCAGTAGATCAGGAACTGATCACATGTCTGCTGAGATGGCAGGTACAAATCCCTTAACAACCCCAATTTGAACAGTTTCAAAATGAAATTAAGACCTACTGTACCACTCTGTTAAAGTTTCCCTTTCCTTCGGTCTCATAGCACCTTCTGTGTTTCATGCATTTTTTCTTTGATTCTTGTATAACTTTCAACGTACCACAGTTGTTTCAAAAAAGATAAATTATGTGATCTCCATTCTACAAACGGAACTGCAACATGCAACTCAGGCTACAGAGCTTCAGACTTGTTGACCGTTTAGGGGAAAATGTGCATACCTTACCTGAGGCTTTTTACCTGCTTTCATCATCTCTTTCTGCTTGCCAAGCTCCTTTTCATCCCTTCCTCTTGATCCTTTTCCTATCTCTCTCATCCTTGTTTGTTTCTGTAGCATTTTACTTCCACCCCCATTCCATTTTACCTTTGATGCTATTTCTTTCCAGTCATTGATCTTTATGTATCACCTATTCATAGTCTTCTCCATTTCAGATCTCCAAGCATTTCAGATCCCCAAGCATTCACTTCAACAACATGGGACAGAATTGTTGAATTCTCTTAGCAGTCTCTTAATACAATCAAATCACACTGAACCAAACATAGAGTTAAATGAACACAGGAGTAAGAGCAGAACAATGTTTTTCATTAAGACGTACATTTTAATATAGAATTGTATCCTTCATATATAATATATTTAGGAAGCTTTGTAAAATCTTTCTGTTTGTGCTGGATTCTGGGGACAAAAGATAAACCATTTAAATTGTCTAATAACTGTGTTTTAGTATCTGCAATTGTAATGGAATATCTTAGATTGTTTTATTTTTATATCTAGTACTCACCCTTGAGATAGACAGGGAAAACATTTTAATCATTGTTTTCTTTGAACTTTAAAAGAAATGTGTTAGGTAACTGAACTTGGGATACAATATTATTTTCTTTGCTTCAAAGAATGTACCACTAGCAATACCTGATTCTGTATAGAAATTGGAAAGCAGGTGACAGAATCAGATTCCTACTTCTCGGACACAAAACCCCCCGCCAACTTTTGTTTCTCAGGCTCCCAAATCATAGAACTTAATCCACCCATTAGCGAACCAGTTTCAGTCCCAGTCAGATACTCAGCACAGCTTGCAAGTACAGTGGTACCTTGGGTTAAGTACTTAATTCGTTCCGGAGGTCCATACTTAACCTGAAACTGTTCTTAACCTGAAGCACCACTTTAGCTAATGGGGTCTCCTGCTGCCGCCGCACCGCAAGAGCACGATTTCTGTTTTCATCCTGAAGCAAAGTTCTTAACCTGAAGCACTGTTTCTGGGTTAGCGGAGTCTGTAACCTGAAGCGTATGTAACCTGAAGCGTATGTAACCTGAAGCGTATGTAACCCGAGGTACCACTGTACCTAGTATCAGGCAGACTTCAGTAAGACAATGTGATGGTGACTATGCCTATGTGATACCACTAGGTGGTTTAACATAAGAAGAGCACTTCTGGATGAAGCCAAAGGCCTATCAAGTCTAGCATCTTTTCCCCCACGATGGCCAACCAGATGCCTATGGGAAGACCACAAGCAAAACATGAGTGCAAGCACTCTCTCACTCATGTTCCCCAACTACTGCTATTTAGAGACATGTTGAATAAAATATATTTTATATTATGAGTCTTCTATTTAGCTCAGGAAAGAGAAGACTATGTGCAAGAAGCTCTGAGCTAGTTTACACTTGGCCTTTATTGTGAGCTAGAGACCAACTATGAATAAACTAACTTTCAAGGCTGCTCAGAGATGCAGAGTGCACAATATTCTGAGCCAGCAAAACTAGCAGAGGTCTGCAAATGCAATGCCAACAGGTGAGCACGTGGTTAGCTACACATTTACTTTTCACTTTATATATACTGTACTGTATGTCATTTAAAATGCATGGAATCCCCATATGTTCTGTTCACATTGTTCTAGAACAAGACCTTAGATAGCTCAAAGGGCTATGTGTACATATCCATCAACTTGTGGCCAGAATATATGGGTCATAAGCACTTGGTAAAACATTGGTGGTTACAAGGAGTCTGTCTTACAAATTATATTGTTTGGGGACCAGAATACAGGTAGTCGTATTAACAACAGGGCTAGCTTAATGGCAGTTCAGGGCAAGATCAGATACAATACACACCAAGCTAAATTGAATAAATTTTTCACTTCCAGAGTCAGGTTATAGGTAGAGAGTCCATCTGTAGAAGACATGTGATTTGGAGTTAGGCAGAAGGTGCAATGCTATTTGTGCTGCTGACGTATTTAGAAGTTAGATCAGAGAGAGTTTAGAGGTAGAATATGCAGAAAGTATCTGGAATACATGACCGCATGCACAATGCTCTGTTTCAGTAGACAAAATGTTCTTGAGTGACTGTTACATTTATAAGGAGAGCTTATGTGTTCTGCCCATTAGTGTAGTTCCCTAGCATGGATAAGAGTGGATGAAACCACAATTGCCTGAAACAATTAATTCATCAACCATGATGTCATAAAATCTTGGCCAAATACAACCAAATTTCAGGTTTGAGACCTCCAAATTGAATACTATGATGAGAGCAGGAGAGACCAGGTTGTACTGTGATGCCCTGGCGACTTGTAGAATAGGGAATGGTTTTAGCAGAACACACTGTGGGAATGGCCAAGATACTTATAAAGTCACATACATTCTGGGGGATTGAAAAGAAAATGGCTTCTCATCAAACCCCTCACACTTGTCAGTTTTGTAAGAGGATGTGATTAACTTGTTAAACTACTAATGGCAGGATACTGTAAATTAATTTCATTGGTAATGGCTTATGGCTGTGAAAGATTTAATATCATATATTAGTCACACAAACTTTATTGCCTTGGAGGTCTCCTCCTTGGCCACCTTAGATGTCTTTTCATCAAAAAGAGTAAGACAAATAATAATATATTATAACCAATTTTTTGGTGAGTGTTCCTGAGATCAACTTCACCTGTTTGGATACAACCGGATTCCATTTTGAATCAAGATGGCTGACTGAACCTTTCAAAACTGCACTGAGTTGTTCTCACAACAAAAGTGAGATAAGCCCTTCTCGCTCTGGATGGCTGCCTGCAAGTTTTCGCAGCAGCAGAGAGATGAAGGAGCAGGATTCAGGTGATAGTAGAGGGTTGGATTCAACTGCAGAGGAAGAGGAATTAGCTGCACCTGAGTCTCCAAGAAGTAGGAGGCGGAGCAAGTGATTAGAACAAAGGAGGACCAGCAGGAAGTGGGGGCGGGCTTGGAGTATATCTGGCCTTGGAAGGGGCCGGAAACCAGTCGAGTCAACTGACTCTGGCAGTGAGGAATGAGTTGTGGGAAGCTCGGATTGCTGAAAGCCTGTTGTGGATAAATAAACCCCAATTAGTCGAACTGCCAGCGTGTCGTGTCTTGTGTATGAGAAGTGCTAAACCTGACACCCTGTGATGATTTTTAAGGCATACTCATATTTCTAAATGCTTTTGGTACATTTTAAACTTGCTGGCTATGGATTTATTTTTATTTGCTTTTGCTCTGTCTTTCACAGTATAAATATATATTTATAGCAATAAACAGGTAGCACATCATTCTAGTACTGGCATCTTAAAACAGTTGGGAGGCAAAACATATTCAGTGATTGCTGCAAACAATAAAATTATAATCTGCATATATGCCACAGGACCAGTGGCCCTGATCACATCTCTCTATATCTTTATTCCTGATAATGCTGCTGTGATGCTGTCTTGCCAAGGAACATAAAGAATTCACAAAAGCAAATGCCACCTGCAAAGCTCAAAAACAATAAATCACACTCAGATCCTACTGTTCAGCCATCTCAAGCAAGAGGTTTTTGAGTATGAATTTCAAAATTGGATAGGACAAAAGTGTGTGCGATGCTGCAAGGGAATATTTGGAAGATACTCTCAATCACAGTAGCTGCCAAATTGTACTTCTCCCTGTTGCCCACATCTGTTGCTCTTTTTCCCTTTCATGTTTATTCTGTGCTTCTCTATCCTCAGTTCATTCATCTAGCCACAATTGCTTCTGTCCACCACTGTTTCTATCACTTGCTATTCTCCCCTTTGTTTTGGCTTCAGTCTGTACACCTACTTTGTTTTCCTTCTGTCTTTCACCTGTTCACTTGTCTTTGATAAACTAGATCCCTTTATCTCGGCCCTGACATAATTAACTGCAATCAGGGGGGGAAATATTTCTAAAAAACAAATAGGAAGATGGAGAATTCCTAAGCGTA